CACTCTCAGAACTGTTAGTCACACTGACAGACACCTGAGGCGATATAAAATGTCCCTCAAAGCCATGAAAGAAGGAGACGGGCTACTTCTCTTCTTTTAAAGCTCTGAGTGAGGAGCAAAGAGATACAGTGAGGAGGGGAGAGTTGCTTTCTAAAGATGCAGCCCCACCACTACTCTCTGCATATGGGGGCCATACCTCTGAGCAAACATGAAGGGGGGAACCCATATAGCTACACGGTCCAGTATCATAAATAACACAAGACTTCTCCTCTCCCTTCTCCATCTCCTTCACTTCACTGCTGGAGTGTTTCATATGGTAACTAGGTGTTCACTGTGTGGCCACATTGTTGCCCACCTTTCAAGTGACTCAGAGGAGGGAAACCTTGAGGCAGAGGAATAGAAGGAATTTTTGATGAAGAAATGCATTATTCCTTTCTTTTTTTTTTTTTTTTTCTATCTCAAGTCCGCTCTTTTTGGTGCCACTTACTGCGGGAGAGGAGTATTTATTACATAAATGGTAAGAAAAGGAGAGTTGAGCTCAGTGGGAGGAAGATGTGGTAATAGAGGCAGAGAAAAAGCTCCTGGTTCTTTTACCTGTAAGATTAATGAAGAGAAGGCAGAAAGTTTTAAGAAATTCTTACTATATATAGCAATTTTGGTTTTTGTTATTTAGCAATCAGTGTCATAATCTGTCAATATCGATCAGAACTTTTGATTTAAGCAGTCTGCATTTTACATCAAAGGTAAAAATAAAAATAATAAAACAGGAGTATTTACAATCAAGAACCCTTAAGGCACTGTGAGGATTGGGATCTTTGATTTCTTCTGTTTTCAACACCTTCTGAGGAACAAGCTGAAGTTGTCTGGAGTGGACACCACATGTCCCAGTGGACAGTGGAGTACCTCACTAGCCATACCATAGTTTATGAGGACACAGGACCTTGCTGACACCTTTCCTCTTTACTATCAACACTGCACATTTCTCCATCAACTCCTTACACTGCCATCTAGAGAAGTATTCTGATGACACTGCCGTAGTCAACCTCATCAAAAGAGGTTGAGCTCATCAAATGAGGCTGACTATGGCAGAGTCAACGCAGGACAGCACAAAGTACAGACAAGACTTTGTAGACTGGTGCCAGCAGAACAAACTCCTAATCAGTTTAGAAGCTGGTGGTGGGCTTCCACCTCACTGAGACCCGTGAACATCCAGAAACAATATTTTTTGGTGAATTGATTCTACGTCACAACAAACTGGCTCACCAATTTGAAGTGGGTATGGGATAACAAGAGAATTATACCACATTGTAAAGCCAAAAATAAACGGACTACATCATTTTTCATAAATCACATACTTTAGATGCCAGAAAGACTGCTGTTACTTCTAAGAGTATCATCAGTTTTTCAGCTTACCCACACAAACTACTGTGACTCAGTGTTGAGGCTATTTTGACATGAAACCATTTGAAAAATATCACCTTTTCAATGAATAAAAGATAGGTTCACATTAAAATGTTGATATATTGAAAATCAATCTTGATTTTTTTTTTAATTGAGAAATATTTTTGCACTATTTGCATTTCTAAATTAAACAAAATGCAGCCTTCTGCTATCAGCGTTCATTTGAAGAGGCAAGATAATAACAACAAACAAGCTGGTGAAAGCCCTCATTCTTTGGAAAGTTTTCTCCATAATGGTGGGATTGAGAGTTTGTTTCAACTACATCTAACATCTGATGAATCCATCTAAAGTTATCTGAAAAGAGAGGTCTTGTAGATGAAACGTCTGAACTCTATGTACACTCCAATAAATGTGACTTGCTTTCAGGTAAAAAAATCACAGGTATTTGGAAGAAAGTTGCCAGACAATTACAATGGTAAATCATTTAACTGGAAAGCTGAAATATTTCTTCCAAATTGATTATTACTGCCCTCTATTGCATCATTACCCATATCAACACAATGATGAACAGAAATCCAAGAATCCTCCAAGTATGTTATTTAGCTGCTTCTATTATTTCCATAATTGCCAGCATTGTAGTGCCATTTGTAAGGTAATTAATAACAAGCTTTGCCTTATTATGCGCTTAATGTTATTTATCTGTTGGCAGATAGCTTGATGCTGCTAATCCTCATTCATTTGCTGTGGATCAATGCAAATCCGCTAGTGTGAGTGAAAAATCCCTTTCCCCCTTTGACAGAGCCTATGGTTCCTAATGTATTTTCCCATGATTAACCAGCCATAATCCCTGCTAATCATCACTAATCCACATTCTTCTGTATGCGACGATACTTCCCTGATGAAGGAGGCATTGGTGCTCACATGCGTCTGGGCACTGCTGAAGCTGGAGCTCCTCCCGAAGAGCTGCCGAGGGGCCCTTCAGTGCAGGAGAACAGGCTGCAGGGATGAGAGCAGACGGGAGGATGGACGGTTGTGATTTGTGGGTTCCATTTTTGGGGAAGTTTGCTGTCTTGTGATGGGTTCTGCTCATGTATTATTGATTTAATGGCATAATGGAGCTTGTGTACCTCTACAAAGCAAGGAGAAAAACTGTATCATGAGAAAAGAACAGTTAGTGTGTGCAACAACCAATTCTCTTATCTGGTCCACTGTAGACTTTTTTTGTTTAATCGTTTAATCCACTCTGTTGGATTCAGAGGTTTGCAATGGATTTTAGCTCATTCATATTGCCTCTTTTGTGGCTTAAGATGTTAAAAAAAACAACAACAAAAAAACACTGTCTTAGTAATAAGAAATACTTAAAATTTCATACTATATTGTTTGAAATTCAACTTAATTTATTAGTGAGCAAGAAGGAGAAATGGTTGCAGATGACAACAGATTTCCACTGCTGTGCCTACTGGTGATGAACAGCCATGAATTCTTTTTAAACATATCTTGGAAGCCAAGAAATGGATAAAAAAGGAAAGGAAAAATATCCAGGAGTTTGACCAAAAAAGATAGATCAATCGTTAATCTTGAGATGCTTTAGAGGAAATGCTGTAATGTAACAATCAACATTGTGTAGCTATTTTTTATCACTTCTACTGCAACCACAGGAATTCAATTAAAATACATCTTAAGAAGTGTGTCTCATCCTTGAAAATGCTTACTCTGATTTTGATATTTGTGCACTGACTTCCTATATCTTTACAGCTGATTTTACAGTTAATTTACTAGATTTAAAATGTTTTAAATACTCTGAGTCCAAACCTTTGTCTGATTTCATTTTGACTTACGCACTGCTCAGACCACTCAAGTGGACATTTTTTATTTTTTGATTTTTATTGCTGTCATAAGTTGGACAATCACCTGTGGTGAGGCGTCTCTGTAGCTGTTCTGACTGATAATTTTGGACCATTTAAAGTTTCAAAATCTATACATGTTTTTTAGATGTTTTGTAATTATAAATTTACTTGGATAAATTTTACCCACCATACAGTTTCTCATTGATTACTTATTCATCTAGATTTGATCTTTTATTTGCAGTAATTGTCTTACCAACTTAATGTGCTTGTTTGCACATTAAATGCAACGAGGACTTAATGGGCGAAGATTAAGTACCAAATAAAAGTTTAGTTTGATAAACCAAACTTTTTCGTTATTTTTTTTTATTTTTGTCATTTATCTTTTCCTCCACTGTTAAAAATATATTTTTTCCACTATTACAGTTAACATAGCAATTAAAAAAGGCCAACGTTCATGATCTAAAACAACGCTATTTGAAATTAAACACAATTAAACGTCTAAAAAAAATGCACGATAATAAAGTAGTCAAAGATTGAGTGTCATGAATAAATTCAATAAGTTTGCTTGTTCAGAAAAACACGTTGATGTTAAACTATTTTTATGCTTCCTTGCCTAAATGAATTTACTTATTAACGTTATTGGTAGCTGAAAGAAATTCAGAAATACAATAATCTGTGTGGATGTTCCGACTGGAATATGATCTTTCGAGAACCTGATCATCCAGGTACCATGTTGAACAACCACAGTTCAACCAGCAGGTGGAGCTTTTGACTCGTTATTTTTTGGCAAATCGACGTCCACCAAAGCGTGTCTTCCTCCAACAGACTGACTACATCTGTCACTTAAAAATATCCCTTTTTGACACTCACTTTACAGCCACATATAATACACGTTGCCGTTTTATGTTGTCGCTGTAAATATCAGCTGGTTGTTTCAGTTGCGCAAAAGACGCGCAGAAAACCAGGTTTGAACCCAAACTGTACCGGAGCATATGAACGAAACAAGATTCGCGGACTCAAAGTTCGGTTTCATAGACAGACAAATAACTCACATGTAAACAAGTCCAGGATGTGAAAGAAGTGTTGTTGAAAAACTTCAACCACACTCTTTGTGACGGTTTCGGCTTGGAATTTGGCAACGAAATAATAATAAAACATGAATCGCGAAGCAAAATCTCCAATAACCTTTTGAAAGAAAAAAAAAAGTTTGTCTTTTTTTCTTTCAAAAGAAAAACAAAACAAAAAAAACCACCACGAAAAAGAACCACGGGTTTCTTCGTGGTGTTGTGTTTGAACATTTTTTCTCCAAATTGTGGTGGAAGGAAGCAAAAATAAGGGCCTGTGGTTTAATTCAGAATTAGGTGCATTCTTTGGGGGAAAGATCGTCCGCGGAAAAAAATGACAACATCCTGTCAAATCCACTTTGGAATTAAAAAAAATGAATTAAAAAGCAATATAGGACTTAAACATCGCGCTCTTGCAACATATAAGTCAATGATTTACTAAGTGATACATTTTAAAAATTCTGCAGATTGTAAATCCCTTTTCGTCCATTTAGCAACTCTTGGGCCTTTAAGTGTATTTTTCTCTCTCTTTATCTTTAGTTGATTTAGCGCCTCCAGGCATTTTTCTCTCCCAGATCAGAGAGTCGTCACAATTCTCCATTCAAAGCCTAAAACATGTCATCTGATAGTTTATAGAGGGGGGGAGCTGAATGAAAAATGCCTATCTTGGCCTTTTCTAAACGAAACAGAATAACAACATACGAGTACCACAATAAAAAGACAATAATTTCGCATTAATATTGCACAATTTAATTCTGCGTTTACACAAAGACTTGAAGAGCGTCACAGACTGAAGTTAGCAGGGAATGCCTGAGGTAAAATAACTGTTGTCAGTTCCCTTAAACAGCACATGTACACACAGCTTCTGCTTTCAAACGATGCTTTGTTACATAACCAATCACTGCACCTAAAGAAAAAAATAGAAAAACAGGGGAAAAAAAAAAAACAGTCTGATCTGCCTCAGCTTCATGTTCATTCTGTTTGCCTGCTGATGCTCTACAAAAAACGGTAACAAAACAGCGACTGTTTTGGATCCAAATGAAGACAAAAGACCAGTTCTTGTATATATGTTTTATGTAAGTAATAAAATATTACTATAACATAAATATAAATGTGACTTTGCAGTCTACATTTAGCAATCAACAAACAACCAATGTCATTAAGAAAAAAAAGGAAATCCACAACAAAACCATCGATAGAGCTAAACAAACAAAAAGAGCTCCAAACACTTTTAAGAAATAAATATTTATATATATAAATGGTCAGATTCATAAATGAAATCATATTAAAATATCTTCTTGGAATTAGTAAGTGTACAAAACTGCCCGGAAAGAAAAAGAAGAAAGAAAGGAAAAAAGAAAGACAGAAAGAAAAAACAAACAAAAACAATGTCTCAGAACAAATACAAGTTTACATATTGGACATATTTACAGATCGGAAATAATCCTGGCAACATTTTCTCTAAAACGTTTCTTTTTATTATTATTTTTTTTTCTTGGAAAAAAAAGTATCCCTCATTAGTGTTGAAAAGCACTGCTGTATTATTTATTTTCTTTATTTTTTATCATAATTTTTTTAACTGATCCAACATTGAGAAATGACACAACGCATGAGATTTTCAGATTTCCTTACAAGTCGAAAGAGAACAAAATAAATAGATAAAAAACGTTCTGTTTTGTTTTTTTTTGTTTTGTTTTGTTTTTTTGTTTTTTTGCTTTTTTTCATTTTTCTCCAAGTACAGCCTTCTAAAATAATACAGTTTTTCTATGGAACGAAGGTAATTGGTAGAGATGCAATCAGATTCAAACAGCAAATCATGTACAGGCGTGATAAATCCTACGGTTACCTGAGTTATTCTTCGGTTTTATTGTTAGACCAAATGTTTTCTTGAAATGTTTGAGTTTTATCAGACTAGCAGACAATTTCGGTGACAGAAACAACACTTTTATAAACAAACAATAAAACAATAATAACAATAATAATAGCGAAAAAAAATAAGTGCTCCATGCAAAGAATATATTTTCTAAGAAGAACAAAAACAAAATGCGAATTTTAAAAAAAAACATACATTTTAGCGTCTGATGCTGTTTGCACATTTCGACGTGATCAGTTGGAAAACTTCTTATTATTTATTTATTATTTTTAAGGCATGCCCTCAGAACTTCAAACGTTCTGTTGCATCGGACTTTAACTATAAATGTATCTGACAGATGTTTATTTCACGATTTTCCAACACTTATCCACCATCAAGGAAACAGAAAAAAAACAGCAAACAATAAACAAAAACAAACTGCTCTGATGAGCAAAATTCAAAACACTTTTTGCAGGTAAAGACACTTAAGTTAAAGTATTTGCAAAAAGACATAAAAAATAGTTATATTATAATGAAAGTGTGCACTCATATTCAGAAATCTGGTTGAGCAGTTTGAGACTGAAAAAAAATCACAAAAAATTCATTCAGTGTGAGCCATTTATCTCCAGTGTTAATAATCATTTATCTGACGACCACCTCATTCTAATGATGTCCAAGAGTTCATGGTGCACCAGGAGGAAGAGATCGAGTCTAACATTTCAGTATAGCCAACTTTTACTTTAGATATATTTTTCCTCTCTTTGATTTGGGTAAATAAAAGATATTTGCTTCAATTTGAATGCGCATGGAATCAGTTTAGCGATTTTTCCTGTTTTCCTATCACGTTCCCCTCTGATTTTAATGTCTGATTAACTTAATCTCCGAAAACTAAGGAAAAACTGATCTTGTGTTTTGTTTTGTTTTTCTTTCTTTTTCTCTCTCTTCCTATCGGGACAACAAAAGTTCAACTTAAATACTGTAAAGCTCCACTGACCCTTTCCTTTTTTCTCTAAATGCTCGGATTGTTCATGAAAACAGTCACTGCACAGGACTCTGTAGTGTGCGGTGTAGTGGAGGGGTCTCTGCCTGGGAATATACGTCCTCCATATTCGGGTGCGGGACCCCCACCGGTGTCATTCTTTTCTCTTTTTGTCTTCTGTTGCAAAACCAAACGCGGACCACCTCTTTTTCCAGCTGCAGAGTGCCGGCTAAAGTGCTGATTTCGTGAGCGGATGGCTTTGGGCATTTCAAGAAGTGGTTCTCCAGCGCCCCTTTCACCCCAACCTCAATGGAGGTCCTCTTCTTTCGTTTCCTGCCCTGCGCAGCGATCTTGTCCAAATTGGTGGGGCTCCCCGTGTTCGAGTCTGTCTCCTCCAGCCACTTGTTAAGCAATGGCTTAAGTTTGCACATGTTCTTGAAGCTGAGCTGCAGCGCCTCGAACCTGCAGATAGTGGTCTGAGAAAAGACGTTTCCGTACAGGGTGCCTAAGGCCAAGCCCACGTCCGCCTGCGTGAAGCCCAGCTTGATCCGCCGTTGCTTGAACTGCTTGGCGAACTGCTCCAGATCATCGGAGCTGGGCGCGTCCTCGTCCGAGTGGTCCTGGTGGTGGCTGAAAGCCTGCTGGGGCGACTCCATCTGGTTATCGTGGCTGCCTGTTTCGTCGTGGAGCGGATCCCGCATGCCGTGGTGCAGGGCGCCCGGCTGTGGACTCAACATCGCGTTGAGGTTTGTGTATCCGGGCTGGGAGTAGACGAGCGACTGGTGGCCGTTAGAAGCCGGGGACAGCGGGGACAGGTGGTGCGTAGTAGCGGGCGCCCACGAACCGTGGTGCGCGCTCTGCGACTGCTGGTGCACCAGGTGAGATCTGTGATGGAAGCCGCTGGTCAAGTCCTCCCTGCTCGCCTGAACGCCGGCTTTGTGCTCTTGCTGACCGATGTGGGTGCCACTGGACCAGTCGGTGTTGGAGGTGGGCAGCCACTGATGGTGCGTCAGGCTCATCGGATGCCCCGTATTGGTGGCCGCGAGCCCCTGCAAGTACTCGTGGTGCATCATTTTTTGCACTTCTCTGTAGGTCGTCCCCTGGTGCATCCTGTCCGAATCCGGATGCATGAGCGGGTTGGACGGCAAGGAGTTATTCCTCGGGATGTACTGAGCTGTTGTCGCCATGGCTCCAACTTGGAAAACTGACGAGCGCTTCGGAGGTCTCCGGGCTTTAGAGCCAAAAACGCAACAACCTGCTCTGGGAGGTCTTCGGGAAGAGCGAAGACACGCCTCCCCTCGGCTTGTATTGGCTCCTCTCCGACTCAAGCTCACTGGAGAGAAACTCAATAGGCGCACGCTTTCAGAGAACGGCGTGCGCGATGGATGGAGGTCCGGTGTTACATATGTTAGAGAAAAAACATATGTTCTACTTATGAAATGTCTCTTTGAGTTTCTGTGCGCACCTGCTCACAGACTCTGCGTGTCTTCTAAATGTTCTCGGTGTAGAAGGTGAGCAGAAGCTGCAGCAGCGGGATCTGATTGGGTTTCCACAGGTTCGGATCGGTTGTTTTGCAAATAACCACGTGGGGGAGTACGGAGATCTTTCTGAAGGGTTGCCCCCCCTCTGTCTTTATCACACACACACACACGCATACGCATCTGCACACACTCACACACACGTGCACCTTTATAATAGGTCACTGATGATTATAGCGCTCCTCATTTTAAACAGATTATAATGCGAGATCCTCTCCAGCTCTGCAGCCTCCCACACGACGAGAGGCGCGCAAATAAGCTGATGATGCGTCTGTGAGCGCTTTAGAAAGAAGAAAATGTGTGACAAATTTGAGAGCATTTGCTCTGTTTCAAAAGCCTCCACGTCTGTCATTTATTTGTATTGTCTCCAGTAATTTTCAGTATTGTAAAACCTCATCATCACCACCCACTTAGTTATGATAGGCCAAGATGCACGCTCTCTGTTTGGGGCTCTTTTCTCTGACTCTCTGGAGCGTGCAGGTGAAATGTTAAACAGGAAGGATTCATATTATTCGGCTCCAGCCCCCATTAAATTTGATAACCTTATTTGCGAAAATAAACATTGTTGCAATGTATATTCAACAACATAGAAGATAAGGTTTTATTTTGTATGTTTATTTGCCCGTCAGTCTCTGCAAGTTCTGCATGTCACTCCAACTCTAACCTCTCCAAAAATATGACAACAATACTATTAAACTCTTGGAATTGTATTATAGATTTTAGTTTTGGTGTGCCACTCAAATACTATACGTGCCCCCCATCCGGCCGCCGCTTTAAAACTTTCTACACGCGCCCCTAAATTGTTGGACCTTCTTTTTAAATTTAGGTGAAATTATTACTTCCTCGTGATCGTTATCTATAACAAGACACTATAATTTAATTTCAACATAATTCCTGACAAGATGTTCTACTCAACCCTAGTAATGTTTTTCAAATATCATTTATCGTTTGAAGGATTGCAACTTAAAGAGATAAATCTCTTGTTTTTTTTTTCCTCCTTCTGGCTTACTCTTCTCTTCCTCACCCGGTTGATCTGATTATTTTTCCCTTCACGTTTTGTCCCAATAGCAAATTACCAATTCTATGAATTGCAAAGCAGCCTCAGAGACGCTGAAGGGGTAGAGAGAGGAGGGGGAGGATGTGGCGGTGGTGGGGATGCAAAGATTGAAAGGGATCTTTGCAAACACAATCACGTTCTTAAATGGAAATGCGGGGCTTTAAACAAATCTTACATCTCTCCCCTTCCATTCGCCCAAAACTCTGCAATCAGGCGCATGTTCCGCTCCTTCTAAAACAGGAGCTGCTTTTTGGGGAAGGTCCCATTTTAATCATTCACCTAAAAGCAATGTGCTTTTTCCCCCCCCGTTTTTATCTCAGCCCCATGCGACTGTTCTTTTTTTTTTCTCTCTTTACAGGAGTTACTCGGCTCTGGGGTTCATTTTAATCCGGGGCTTCATGACTAAACGGTAAGTTGTGTCTTTTCTGCTGCGGATGCGTCCTCGCTGTACCCTTGTCTCCTACGCTAACAGTGAAGTGTGCATGTGTGAAAGTGTGTGTGAGGGGGTGTGCGTTTGTGTGCAAAATATTGGCCGGGTCACAGGTGCTCGTCATCATCTCTGGAAAGGCGTGGTTTTTGCCCACGCGTCCTTTATATATTTATTGGAATAAGTGGGGGACGCTCTTCATGCGTCTTCTTGCAATTTATCAATAAGTAAATACAATCTGTTGCCTCGTAATTTTTTAAAGAGAGAAATCAGTGATCACTGTGCGACATTCGCAAAACACATTAAAAATGCTTAATTAGATGTGTAAATTGACAAGGGGGTTATGGAATACTGTTATCTGCGACGCAATCATAAAATAAGACTTTTAAAAATGTTTGAGTAGAGTACGGAAATGTTACAAAAACGAGAAAGCAATATATGATATTGATATTTCGAGTTATTTCAAACAGTAAACTTCTTGGAATCTGTGCGTAAACCCCCGAGAGATCCAGCGTGTCTCTTGCTCTGAGGGACCCGCAGCTCCACGCAGCTCACAGTTAATAAAGACGTTTGCCATTCAGTCACTCTTGTCTCCTCCAGTCTATAAAAAGCGCTGGTTTCTGTCACACAGACCGAGGCTTGTGCTTTGCCATGCCAGTGACGAGCTGCTGGAAAAGAGAAAGCTCCAGATGCTTTGGGCCCTTTTTTGCAGGGGGAGAATACGGCCTTGTTGTTGCGCTGAGGTGCATTTTTGCCAGGACGCACAAGGTTTCCATGGTGCGCCCGATGAAAGGGGATCACACAGAACTCAGCTGTGAAGGGACGGGCCGCTCAGAGAAAAGACGGCTGCAAATGAGCGCGATATGATGGGTTGAAATGAAAAAAAAAAGTGAATAAAGGATGAAATTACAGAGCGCTCCGCGTGTGAACCGCGGAGATGAGTGTTGAGGAAGTTGAGTGACCTTCTTAAGGAAAAATAAGTGTTCTTTGTATCTATATGACATCATAATTTTATTATTTATTCTTCAGTTTTTTTGCCACTTTTCCCTATGATACAGATGTGGGAATGCGCTACAGACAATGAGAAAAGCGGAACGAGTTCAGACTTTTAATCCAAACTGTATGTTACGTTTTTATGTCCAAATTATGGTTTAGATATATTTTTGCATCAATATTTGTCTTAGATATGCAGCTATTTTCCAATTCATGTAATTTAAGAAATTTAGAAAGCATTTATGGCAGTCGTCTCTTAACTTATAGTACCTTATTATAAAGCAGTTACTGTCAGGACACAGGACGTTTCTCTCTGATTTCCCGTCTGCTTTGTGCAAAGAAGATAAACATGATAAAAGCGTCTGAAGAGTTTCTAAAACTGTGTTTGCATTTTCTGGTATTTTCAGATAGACAATAAAAAATAAATCAGAAAGGTGTCAATCAATTTTAAAATAAAATTAAATAAAATGCAGTTTCTGAATTTGCGGTTTTTAAACCGGCTCTGACGTGTAAATCTCTTTTAATTCCGACCAGGGGCGGCTCTAAGGGGGTCGCATCGGTGGGGGCCAGAGGCTTTGGGGCTACAATCTCTCGTACTAGCAAGACGTCTTGTTAGAGAAGACATATCATTTATTTATTGATATCATATTTTGATTCTTTTATTTTAAAAAATTGAATATTTTACATGATTATTCCCACTTTTTAAGTATAGCATAATAAACAAAGAAGAAAATTTAAACCTATTGCTCATAAGATTATAATAGAAAAGAAAAGAGGGTCGGGGGGAAAGCAAATTTACCACTGAGAGATGTATTTTTCTCAAATAAATTGACCCCAGATTCATATTCTTTCAGTGGAGGAATTGAAAATTCTTGGAAAACATGTACAAAGGTCTTGTGCAGGTCTAAGCATTTCATCCCAACCCAGTACTTACAGCTGGAAGACCAACCAATAAGACAATTTTTTGGGATTTGGATACAGCAGAAGTAATAAATAAATAAATAAATGAAGAAAAATAAGTAGACATTCAAAGAAAAAAGTAGGCATCTGGTCAGAAACTGTTTGCCAAAATATACAACCATAGGTGGACTTTCTAAGTGCATACATAGCCCCCCTGGGAGTAGAGTATGTTGAGGGTCTGGCAAGAGGCCCACTCTGTTTAGTACCCTTGAGCTCCAGCAAGTTCTAGGAATGTTGTAGAGATTCATTGTAACATCAGAATAAAACTCCTGTGTTTTTTGTATGACTTTCAGTTTTGGTGTGCTACCTCATGATTATAAGTCCCCTCTTTACCCCCCCTGATCTGGTCATCCCTTTTCAAAACTTTCTGAAGGGATCCTTGATTTGTACTCAGCCTCACTGCAGATCAATGATCCTTTTTCGTATTTCCAGGGGGAACATTTGGCACAGCAGCAGGAGTGTGTTTAGATGTTAAAATTCATGCAATGTACCTCCTGCAGACAGTGGAATAATATCCACCAAGTCGTTCAATCAGATAATTGTATTTTGTTTTCACTGTTTTTGACAGACATGCGTAATAAGCACTAAATATGCAATCGCCAAAAGAAAAAACTGCTTGTAGGCCATCCATTTTGAACACTAAATCGTCCTGTTCTTTTCAGGTAACTTTTTTCCTCTTTCTTTTTTGGCTAATGAACTTGGGCTACTCTGCCAGCATCCCCTTGAGAATGCAGCTAAGGAAGGGGGGGGTGTGTTTCTCTTGTGGTAAAAGGTGCGAGTTTCTTCCTCTATCTCCCGGCTAATTAGGCGGGGTCTGAACACGCCAGAATGAATATTCATGAAAACCACCAGTGCGCAATTAGTAGAGGAGAGAGTTCCCAACTTCAATCCCAAAACAACGCATGGCTCGCAGAGGAAGCGGGCTAGAGTTCCCCCCTCCTGCTTCATGTGTCTCTGCTGCCGGAGCGCTCTTTGAGCCCTCAACTTGTACTCGCAGAGCTTATCAGCTGGTCTGCCACTTCCCCCTCCTTTTCAAACCAGCCACCATCATAAGTGTTTGGACCACTTCATTTGAATCTCCATGTTGGGAATAACAGATAATCCAATTAGATTTGTCAGGAACCTCTGAGGTGGCCTAAACAGAAAGTTTTTTGTGTGATGAAAGCTTTTGGAGATCTTTGGATTCACCTTTCTACACCTAGAATTTATTTAATATTATTGTTTTTAAATAAAATAAAAACTCTACAATAGATCAGTGATTCTGATCAGTAACAG